CCTGCTATTCGCCCACTTATCGGGCAACATAAAAACGTTCAATCACTAATAATGCATATTCTAAAGAAGTATTATATTATCTTTGCTTTACAAAGTACATTATAATTAGTATTTTATATTTTGCACGTATGAGGAGCATTGCTCATTTTAAAGAGTCATTTTTAATTAGGTTTCAGATGAAATCGTTGCTGAGAATATTCAAATATTTCTTATGATAGTACAGTCAAAAAATTCCAATATGTATCCAACCGGGATGTTCATTTCTAGAAAAGTCAAATTTTTATAATAAATACTCTATTAATATTCATGAAATGCTTCGAATTTTGTTCTGTTGAAAATCAAATAAATAAACTAATCATTTAAAAAAATCGTTTGTCTTGCTTTTGAGCAAAACCAAAGCCATCAACGGATATCTTTTACCTATGATTAAAAACAAGAAAGTACAGTTTCTGGAAAATTTGAAGTGCGTCGAATACGAACAAAATTGAAGTGATGCTTTTGTTATGAAAATTTGAATAATATCATGTCTGTAAGAATGATGTTCAAGTAAGTCGGTTCGTCTATTTCAAGTATCAAGGTTTATATTTGTCAGATTATGCAATAGCAGAACTAGCAATCGAAGAAATACAATGGCTTTTATCGTTAGTTACGAATAGGTAGCAGTAGGGTAGCATTGCTTGATCGATGAATGATTAGTTTTACTGAACAAAACTGAGATGAATGTTTCAATTAAAAGGCAAAACTAGATATGATATACACGTTGCCTAATCTATTAAACCATTGATTAGAATTTGCTATTTTGTAAATCTTTCTTTTGTGAGAATCCTTAATAGTAATCATACTTTTTATATTGTTCTGATTTATATAATTGTAGGATAGAATTAATTTTCGAAATTTTTTCATTATTTCCGATGAATATTAGTTAAAACTTCGTGATTATTATTCATTCATCAATATGTTGATTCAAATGTAAACTTCATAATAGTCTGTTTGAATTCGATTTTTACATTTTAGATTTTTACGAAAATATCTGTAGTCCCAGTCGAATGAATTCAATTGCAAAACACCGATTGTAAACAGACTTTATCGAAAACAATTGCCCTTGCTGACTTAACAACTGAAAATAGATATTGGAAATAGCACATTTGCATCTCTATTTCGTACGAAGAGTTCAAACAAAGCTGACACGCAGAATAATTTGCGGGCACAGTCATTGTAGTTTGACAAATTGAACATTGTTATCTGACGAAATTCAAATTCCATATGGAACAAATCATGATATGATTTAATTCTATTTTTATATTTCAGTATCTTTGTAATTAATTACTTCCGGCACTGCTCTATGATTTGAAAAAGGTAATGTATGACGCTTGAAACAAATACAATTAAGGATGAAATTAACTGTTACTTCAATGATTTGATTATCAATAAAGCAACTGATTAGTCATAATAAAATATAATCTGAAATTAATATTAAAACAAAATAATATCTAAATAGCTTATATTTTCCCAAAACAAACATTTTTTAAAAATTGTCTTGAAATACATACAATCCGTTTATTCGTCTGTCGACAAATATTTCAGATCCTCAGCTCTTGTTTTATCTTTATATCTGTAAATCAAAAGATTTGAATAAATAAAGTTGTATATTAATGTTATATTATATTGCCTAATATTTATAATTCAAAGTCATGACAATTTACAAGATTATGAAATGACAGATTGTTTTGTCTATAGGTCAAAATATATGATTAATCTCATCAATCACAAAGCATTACTCTTGGATTTTTCTTTCTTTCGTTTTAATGATATTTTTCTTTTATTGGCGAACTTCTATTCACAAAACCATATAGCGGCTTATTTAGAGAGAAAACAACAAAATTTGGTTTATACCGATAAAGATTGTGGTTGTATTAGTGCAAATGAGAGTGTCGTTTGACAAAAGGTGTGTCAATAGGCTTTACAAAAATTATTGTTAACCATATAAGTCATCATTTATACTGAAGGAAAAATAATCTGTCACTCAAAACCACCATCTGATTTTTATGAATGATAAATAAAAGGATGTTTTTCTTTTCTCTCATGTGACGAGTTCATCTGTAAAAAAAAGATCAAAGATTATTGGGCAAAAGCTTCTACAAATATTCTTATGTTTTCTTTTTCTCAATTATTGTTTCTTCATTTCCAAAAGAAATTTTTCATGAAAATCTGATGGATGCGTGTAATAGAATCAAAGTAATAATATTTTGTTTATTGAAAATGTATAGCTATCGAATAGTATCCATCAACCAGTCTTGTTCTTTATGTTGTTGCCTAATTATACACTATTTTATCTGTTGCTAACACCCACTTTATTCTTTTATTATTTTCTCGTCATAATTGCCTTGCTAATAAGAAACTTTAATCAACGCGACTGAGATAGAGAGATGAAAGAAAATCTACTAGTTTGAACAGAAATATGAGACTATATTTTATTGATACAAATAACTAATAAGAAATTTAAGAACACAATTTTTCAATAGTTGATTTCAATCATGCTTGGTATTTTCATTGTTTGTTACGTAAAAAAAATCTTTGCTTTTCCCCTTTCTGATTTAAGATGAGATGTACCGAGTATGTAGAAAATAAAATTTATGGTTGATTTTTTTTTCAATATTTATTTGCAAAAATAAAGAGATACACTTTAAACACTTTTGTGATTCATGTTAATTAAAAATTTCCTAGGATAACTAGTAAAGTACTTCGATATATAGAGAAATTCAACATGGATCAATAAGTGGTTGGATAATAGACTACTGGTGGATAAAATACTGGTCTTGAAACCATTGATGATTGAGCAAATGAACAACTTGGGCAGCCAGATGTTGGCACTACCAATGGCGAGTAGTATGCAGATTGAAAAACCTAAATACAAATTATAAATAAGAAGAATATATATAAAAAGATAAGCAACTCACCATGATTATTGATAGAAGGGTTTTAATAGTAATTGGAATAAAATAAAGAAGGTTTGGATGCTCGCTTTAAAGCTATATTGAAACGAATGATATGTGATTGAATAGATGTAAAATGAAGAATCGCTCACCTTTGTTGTATAGATAAGAAACTACGTGTGTATGATTTTTTTTACGAAATCAACGGTGTTATATACTGTGAAGTTCTGTCAGATAGATTAAATCAAAGGACATCATTGATCATAAATAACTACTGTATGAAGCCTAGACAAACAAAGAAGCACGCATTTAATGGATGGCTGATCTTGGCGAATAAAATTAACCACACTCGAAGAGGGTTGCAGTTTATGAATGAAACGAATTAGAATATTGTGCGAGGCCAAAGTTTGAGGGCAAATATTGTTTTTATCTGTTTCATATGTAAACTACTCGGTACATTTTCTTCCTTGCAAAAACTTCCATAGGTCATAAGGGCAATATGAATGAATCACAAGACTAATAATCATAAACAAGGATTTCAAAATATTACACGTATCGATATTGCATGATACAGAGGATTTGCTTTATCACAACAATATATTCTTACTATACTCAATTATAATATATCTTTGACGGTACGGCCTCAATACTTTTGTTTTTGGTATTTTCTCAACGTAAAATTACAGTTTACTTTCTTTTATATATATCTATGAAATTTCACGAGTAGTAAGATGAATATAAAATAAATGCATATATTTCGAGATTTCATCTAAATCTGCAATTGAAGATTATTATTATACATACAATCAGGCTATTATTACAAATAACTGAGTTTTCTGAATCTAAAAATTGAATAGTTGAAAATTTAAATCTCGTTTATTTCATAATAAAATCAAAATTGTTCGGGAATCGTTTATTATATCCATGAATTCATATATACAGTATTCTACTACTATATTTTAATATTGCACAAAGAATGCTTTTGATTCTATTGCCTGTTTTATACTTCTTTTTTCATCGAAAGCGACTCCTAATATCAAATAAAACATTTTAAAAGAGGGTGATGCAATGATCCTATTCATCAACTGATAGAATAATGATGCTAGAACAGTGTTTTCCCTATCGTCTACAATTCCAAGTAATATGTTGAACTAATGCATATTGAAAGTATTCTTGGCTTCGAACATTAAATTAATAACAAAGTTTCTAACATCTTAACACGTACTGAACAAAAATATCAGAAAAATATATTTAAAAGGAAATATTTACTAGGGACCTTGTTTTTCAAGTATGTCAAAAGCAATGATAAATGTGATTTTTGTGAGTGAACAAATACGATAGACTGAAAAGGATGAAAGGTAAAGTTGTCGAACAAAACTTCTTAGTGCAGTCCTGTAGGAATTGAAATATGAAACTCTTGTGCATTGCTAAGGCTCACTCAGCCGTCGCATAGTAGCTGAAGTGAAACGTTTTTTCGATAACCTATCTTATTGCTAAGGTCTGTAGCTTATGCAACGAAAATGGGAACGGGATAGCAGCTCTGTTAGACTAGTATCCGGCGAGCAGGTGCGGAAAAACAATCATTGCCTGAGATCGTAAACCACGACATATTGGTTGTAAAGTCAGATTTATCCTTTTTTCAAAAGTGTATAGATATCAGCTCCATAAAAATCGGTTATTTCAGTGCTGCTAGAAGTATCTGAATGTACTGATAGTCTAGTCGTGAATTGGCCTGGTAAATAATCATCTTTAGGTATGCTCGGTGCTACCTGATTGAGAAGAAACAATTCAAGAACGTCTTTGACTTTGTACTACCCTGATTTTGTATAAACAAGAGACAGAAAAGAAAAAGAAACGTATCCTTCTTTTTATTTTCATATAAATGGTTCATTCTTTAAAACCATAATGATATTAGCAAAAACAGTATTTGCAAAATACGCAATACGATACTGATAATCCCGAATCTTTGAAGATTTTTTAGGTTTATTTATTTATTTTTGAATAGTGATTAAATAAAATAAATAAAGCAGAACATTTTCTGAGTTATTATATCTGTTTTTACTAGTTCTACCACACAGGTTGTGCACCACGTGATTTAAGACGTCCTTCGTAATATTTATTAAATAGGTTGTTGAAAATTGAGATAAATTCTATTGAGAATTCATTAAAATCAATACATTTTTTATTTCCATTTCGTCGGTACCAATGAGTATTGAAATTCATATGAAGACCAAAGAAGATTTCAGAAATACTATAGGGCTTTTCGGGTTCAGTAAGAAGATCGTTTTCCTGAATTAATTGATTTATGGTAGTTTTTTCAAGAAATAAACCGAGATGTTCAATTGAATTTTGTCGTTTAAGACTTAACGTATGCACTAAATGAACCATAACGATAATGATATCTTTGTATAGATCTTGTTGATCATTTGAATCTTCAATTGCTGAATCGATATAATGACCAGCAAAGTTCCGAATAAATCGAATAAGTGTATATAACATTCATTTCAGTTTCTGCACGAATAAAACGATGATATTTCGATGTTTCTTCGAAATAATGAGAATTTTTACACTTTGTACCAAATTTACATGAATTCTTGATATACCAAAAACGACAAAGTTTTGCTTGTCAATATATCGATTGATGTTCACGATGGCATTTACCCGATGGTTTAGAACAAGTTCCAGTTTTGATCATATCAAAACACAGACGACGATGCCAAAGTGCCATTTCAATTGCTAATTTATCTTTTGCCGTTTCATAAATGTAAATAAATAAAAGAAGTCCTTTTCCAAGACGGGCAAAACTAATTTTGTCAGTCTGATTTCGAGTTGCATAAAAATTACATGTTTGAGTGCTTGTACCAATATTTTCATTGAACAATAAATTTGCAATTTTTTCCACTATCGATTTTGTTTTAGGTTCTTTGGAAGCCATTCTACTGGAAGAATACTTGTTAATGGTGATTATTTTTTCTGCTCACATTTTTCGCATTAACGTAAGAATGACAAAAGAAAAGTCTATGTTCTTTTTGTTTTCTATATAAATGAATCATCGATTAAAAGCATGGCAACAACAACAAAACAAATATTATGAAATAATAGATTAAATAGTGACAACGAAAAATATTTCAAGATTTTTGTAGATGCATTTATTTTCTCGAATAATAATTAAAAGAAAATAACCAAAGTAGGATATGATCTTGTTTTGATGACTGAATCAGTAGAATATGCCGAACAAAATTTCGAATAAACTGAATATGTTTGCAAACGTTCAAATCAGTTTATGCATACATACAATATGATAGTTTGTTGCTCAGACTTTGCCTTACACTAGTAAGAAGAGGAAAAAAATTTGTTTGTTACTGCTTTAAATCAAGGCCAAGCGAATATTTATCACAGATTAGAGTGCATTCTTCATAATTAATCATATGAAAACCAGTGTGACTATTTGAAAGAGCTATTTTGATTTTAACTTTATCTTTATTCGTTTCATAAATGAAAGTTTGTTAGCATATCTCCTTTGGTACTAAAATATGGAACTCACATCTATCAATGAGGTTCACTAAGTTAATGTACAATAATTTCAGTGAAAAATCTTTGTTAAAAATCTAGCTTATTTCTAAGGTATGCAATTAGGATATTACCTGTATGGTTATACGTGTAAGACGGCTGTATGAATTATTTTATCAATAGATTGTCTTTTTGTGTACTCAAAAAATGAGTACACTACTAAAATCGGTCAGTGTGTCCGTCCGTTTATTCGATAACTCTTCAGAATTACATTTGATTGAACTGAAATTTTGTACACAGAATTGTCTCATCAATATCTAGGTCGAGTTCGAAGATGAGAAGAATCCGTCAAGAAATGACTGAGTTATCGAAAAAATTGTCATTTTTTGATCAGACCATCCCTGAGGGGGAGTACAGTGATTTTTTCAAAAGAAACTTTTTTTCTCAGAATTATTCACAACATATATAAATCGACTCAGTTTTTAACGCTAATTGTGAATCTGATATTAGTTTTGAACTAAACCGTAGCTTTCTAACGAAACATCGCCTGAAAAACTTCTCAAAATGCACGAAAAACTGCATCCAGAAATCAAATCGCCTAGTTTCTCATGATAATTTTGGTGTTCAGACATTCTAGGATGATTCATATGTCCCATGTACTTTTTGCAGTACACATAACTCTCGGATGAAATCCGAACTTTCCACATTTTTTTTTTATAAATGAAATAAATATAGGATTTTATTGACTTTTCAACAAGTTTGATTTCTGATCATACATCAATTGGATATAGTAATAAACAAAACAAAAAATTGATTATCAGTTCAATAAATCAAAATAAGATACTAAAATAATCTATGATCTGGGTATTACATAAATTAATAATTTCATTATGCATCACTTAGAAATATTCATAAAAAAACAATTAGAAAATATGTTTTTCCAATAGGCGTTTGTGACTACTACTGATTCAAAAGATCTTCATACATCAATAACACATATTTTTCACTTGAAATACTGTCTGTTTACTTAACAGAGTATGATATGAATCTTTTTTTATACTAATTGATATAAACATGAAATCGTACAAAAACTAAATTATACTGTTTAGTTCAGTTCTTTGAATAAATCTATTCAATAGATAAAACCATCGATTTTGTCTTTCCTTGATTATTAACCATTTATTAAATAGGAAAGATCTTAATTTTTTAATCGTGTACATCTATATGCTACCATAAAAAAATGCTCGACGGAGAACAGAACAATTGAAATTTAGACAACTGCTTTACATGTACAATTCGCTTCTGTTTTCTTTTGTTTATATGGCGAATGGACGGATTCAATGCATACACAAAACGAATCGTTCTCTTCTCTTCTATTATTGAATTGTTAAGTGACAAAAAAAACTGCCAGCATAGTTACAGTTTCAAACAATTCATTGATAGTTTAAAGGTGTGCAAACTTAATTGAATCAAAAAAATACCTACCCGTTGCCATTATGTCCAGACGGCAAACGAATACCAATCGATCACACAACAGTGGATCTTTTCCAAGTAGCAAAGTTGTACCAGCACCTATAATTGCTCCAATACATACATCGAATGTTGATGATGAAAAAGTAAGTAGCTTTAACAAGTACAAGATTAAATATTTTACATAAAAAAAATAAGCAAATTTACGCATAGACTACAAAAGAAAACACAATGTACCCATTGAGAGTTTTGAATATATTTTAATGTTAACTATTATTTTTCTCTATCAATTGTATTCTAGCCTAATCAACCGAATTATTTCAAACAAGAAAAACTGGAAGCTGGTGTACATGCTGCGGATGCATATAACTATAGAGAAGCAATCAAACAATTCTCTTTAATTAAACCAGATACAATAAGTTCACTCTTTCTTGCTGCCTGCGCTCGACTCGAACTTCAACATCCTTCACAAGCAAAAGAAGCACTAATTGATTTAAATAAATGTTTTGACTTATTATCACAAGAAGAACAATCGAAACCACCATTCTTTCTCGAATTATGGTACAAACGTGCATTAGCTTATCGTTATATTGGTAAACACGAAGATGCCATTGAAAATTATACGGAATATATAGATCGATGTAGATCATTAGGTGAACGAGAAGAAGAAAATCTTTGTAAAGGTTTAATTGCACGAGGATTGGTTTATCAAATTCTTTATGAACTTGACACTGCCATGGAAAATATACACGAAGCGAATGTATTAACAGAGAATAAAAATCCTTATTATTTATGTTGTCGAGCAGGTATTAATGCGTTAGTATTTGAAATCGATCAAGCTTTAGAAGATTTAGAAAAAGCCTCGCAAGTAGGCTGCTACAAAAGTGCTGAAGCATTACTTCAACGAGCTATTGTTTTGACTGAGTTAAATCGACATAATGCAGCTATTAAAGATTTAAAGAAAGCTTTAACACTCACTGATAAACCAAGCCAACAGTCAGATATTTGCTTTCAATGTGGTGTTAGTTATTATGCATTGAATGATAAGGAACAGGCATTTCAGTGGTTCTATCACTCTACTAGTTTTCATCCGTATAATGCTCAAGCCTACTATCGTTTGGGTGTAATACAACGAGAAAAAGAGCAATATACAGACGCTCTAAAATCATTAGATCGTGCACATGAATTATCTCCTCTACAAAGCGACATTTTGTTCCAACGAGCTCTTGTCTATGAATATCTCAACAAACCTGATGATGCTGCTAAGGATCGAAAACGTGGTTTACAACTTTTTTCATTAGATTTCACGATAATTACAATGCTTGGCAATCGTATAAAAGCATTACGAGAAGAAATGTTACATACTAATGTATCATCACATACTCATCTAGAACTAGCCATCGCATATGATGGATTGCTGAATCGAAAGAAAAATTTGACAACGAAAAAAATATTTTATAAAGTAGCTATTGATGAATATCGTGTTGCTATTGAAACTGATACGAAACATTTATATCCACACGCACATGCTCTCATTGCTCTTTGTCATCTGAAAATGAACGATTTTGTTAAAGCACATGAAGCACATTTACAATTTTATAATATATTATCCAAATACAAAGGTACTGAATATCATTGGAAAGCATATCTTTTAGATGTTAAAGATAAAATGGAATTAGGTAAAACTGAGCCACATTTAGATCAAGCTGGTGTTAGTAAACTAATCCACATGGAATTAAATCGAAGAAAACAGTGTGCCGACCAAGAAACATTCAAATACGATACCGAAGATCAATATAAAAATCAATTATTATTCTATGAAAGATTACGTATTGATCTAGCGAATCTACTTGGAGCTATAGCTCTACTAAATCTTGATCGTGATAGAATTATTGATAATATAGAAAACACATCATATAGGTAAGCAATCGATTTCTATGTCTTACTAACATGCAAACAAATAATACAATTTCTTATTTAGAATTAGCAAAATTACAGAATCGATAATTGACAATGACATATCTATTCACGATATTGAATCGAAATTAGATAATAATAACAAAGTCAATACAAAATTGATTCAAAAAGCTGATTATGATATGATTAAAATGAAATTAAAACAAATAGAAAATATTGGTGATATGATTGATCAATTAGATGTTGCTCAACTCGTTGCTCGACATATATGTACACGTTATCGTTCACAACTTCTTTGTCTTAAACCTAATTATGACGATATTGCCGATTATGAGAATGATGAAGAACAATCATCAGGATCACCATGGTGTTGTTGTAGTCGTAGTCGTGTATTCTCTTCAAAAGCCTCAAAATTTTCCTATGACAAGGATTCTTTCCAGAGGATAGTTACGTTTGCCATTGCTTTTATCATTGAAACACTGAATACTGGAACTATTAGAGTTTCATCCAATGGAAAATCATCGAGAAAAGATGCATTAGCAACAGCGTTAGTTTTAATTATAAGTCGTGCACATTCAAATCTGGTTTCATCATATCATGATAGAAGTACAAATATACCTATCGATTCAGCAGCATTCGTTAAAGTATGAAATCATTCTAGTATATTGATTTTATTTATTGATATTCTTCTCTTCTCGTCTCTTAGATGTGGGAGGATTCACATCGGAAAATCGATGAGAATACTTTACCTAAAACATGGAATTTATACGAATTCTTTCGAGCACCTGGTATCTATTATTATTCTAATGATGATACTGGAAGAGTTTCCTATTATGGTGCTGATATATCAATGATTACAGATTTATACGGATATCGACTTGGAACACAAGAGGAAGTTCAAGTTTTGAAAAAACTAAATCAAAAAAATAAATAATTCTTTTTCTTCCGAATTTAAGCGTAAAAATTGTATATACATATATCTATACAACCATCATTTAATTGTATTATTAGATAAGTGTCCATCATTAAATACTCTTTAGGGTTTATATTATTATTTAAAGGTTATAATCTTTATATGATTGAAAAGATTGCCTCGACTGTATTATGAACAAGAGATGAAATGATACATAATTCAACTCTCGTTTTCAATATTAAGAAGAATTTTTCTTCAATGATTTTTGTAAAGGTTTGGATTAGAAAAGGGCAAAACATATACTGAATTTCATACAATGATAGAGAAAAATCAATATTTCTCTATGATTCTCGTGAATGATTGTATTGAATAATTTATTTGTTCACAAATATAAAAGTTTATGATTAGCTATATGAATCTGAAAGACGCAAACACTAACTTGTAATTAAACATCTTATAAAATGTTGACAAGATTAGTTCCTATCTTACTCAGATATATGTGCTTATGATAGAGGCAAAATTGAATTTAAAATAAATGTGGAAACTTCGGATTTCATCCGAGAACTATGTGTACTGCCGAAAGTGCATGGGACATATGAGTCATTCTAGAATGTCTGAACACCAAAATTATCATGAGAAACTAGGCGATTTGATTTCTGGATGCAGCTTTTCGTGCATTTTGAGAAGTTTTTCAGGCGATGTTTCGTTAGAAAGCTAAGATTTAGTTCAAAACTAATATCAGATTCAGAATCAGCGTTAAAAACTGAGTCAATTTATATATGTTGTGAATAATTCTGAGAAAAAAGTTTTTTTGAAAAATCCCTGTACTCCCCCTCAGGGATGGTCTGGTCAAAAAATGACAATTTTTTCGATAACTCAGTCATTTCTCGACGGATTCTTCTCATCTTCGAACTCGACCTAGATATTGATGAGACAATTCTGTGTACAAAATTTCAGCTCAATCGAATGTAATTATGAAGAGTTATCGAATAAACGGACGGACGGACGGACACACTGACCGATTCTAGTGTACTCTTTTTTTTTTGAGTACACAAAAATGAACTTAGATAAATTTCGTTTTTAATTAAATATAAAACTTCAAAATAGTTTTCATTTCAATTCACACGATGTAGCATATCATCTTTATTTTCTGCGCTCGGAAGTAGCTATGTTTTAAAAGAAAAAAAGATTTAATCCACAAGAAATGCATAAGCTACAGGTAGTTTACTTCCTATTGTTCTTTCCGAAATGTTCTATTCTTATTTACTTATAAATAATGCTTTTCAAAATTGTTCATGTTTTCATTCTTCCTTTATTCAAGAAATTAAATCTACTAATATACTGCTTATTCTCTAGTCGAGCGAACGAACGACACGACACAATGTAAAACAATCTGATGAAATAATTTATATCTAAATATCTTTTTTAAGAAACCGTTCTTTCGGATCTTTCACGGTTTTTTCCTACAATAAAATGACTCAATGCACTATTTATATACTAATGTCGCAATTTATTGATCTATGAGTCAATACAAAAACAAAATACACGCATGCCATTTTATGCTGCTTTGTTTTTTTATTCCGTGAAAATATGCAGGTGCCAAATAAAAGCTAATGTTTGCTTCCAATTATCTTCGATAGATTATTACTAGGAAAGCACATGAATCAAAGTAACCGAATGTTTTGCAATAACAAATTGCTTGAGAGAACTATGAGAAAACCTCGAAGTAAGTTGTATAGGTAACGTTGAAGTAAGATTATTTCTCCATTTTCGTTTTACATCTGTTATTAGCATCACTAGATCATGAATGGTGAGTCCTAATGAAAACATTTTCATTCGTTAGATCTCTATTTGTAGGAAATTGATTAGTTATTTTGAAGATCTATCGAATGAACTATTTTATGAAATTTTTGATTATCTTGATGGTTTGGATTTATTTGAAGCATTTTTAAATCTTAATGTTCGTTTTCAATGTTTGCTCAGTTCTATTCTTATTCGATTGAATCCTAGTTTCTCGTCTTGTATGCAATCGAATTATGAAAGTCGTCTCATTAATGTAGTTTCATCAACTAGGCAACGTATTCTTGCAATTTTCTCCTATGAAAAATGGATGACGAATAGTTTATACGCATTACTGACTATTGATTCATCATTTCATCGTCTCGAATCTCTTTTTCTTGTTGGACTTAATTCATATAGATTAATATCTCTTCTAACAAGTTTAACTACTCTATATAATCTCTCTTCATTAACCATTGTTATCGATGAAGATATATTAGATTTGACCGAAACATATCGAATGCTTTGTGGTTTGCCTACTTTGAAATACTTTAAACTTTCATTCGAATCAGAAGAAACATATAGTTCATTGGCAATTGTTACCAACGATCATTTCAGTAATCTTAAATATTTAATCATGAATCATTCATGTACTTTCATTGGTCTTACTTCTATTCTATCGTGTACGCCTCAACTTTGCTATCTTAATTGTATGATGCTGAACGAACCGAGTGATTCTATTAAAGAATGTGTAAAGATAGCATTATCCAATTTAACTTCTATTAAAGTTGGTAAATGTTATTTGTCATTTGATAAATTTGAAATATTTATTCAAAATGTTTGTGCTGAATTAAAAGTATTACATATTAACACGTATAGTGATACAGCTTATTTGAACGGTAGACGATGGGAACAATCTATCCAACAGAATATGCCACATTTGTGTAAATTTGAGTTTCAATATCATGAAATTGTTGAAGATACTTTTGAATTTACACCCCATCATGCTCTTATGGATCAATTCGTTTCTTCATTTTGGATAAAAAAGCAATGGATGATAGAAATTCTTATCGATATACTCGATTGGTCTGGTATTGAAATTATTTATTCAGTTCATCCATATGCGTAGGTAGATCTGTGATAGTGCTTTTCTTAAAATAATGTTTGCGTCTTTTTTCGTCTTCAGGAAACGATGGCATGAATTGAATGAACTCAATGGGAATCATCATTTCTACTACATCGAACAACAACAACAATCTGTTATTGTTACTATCTCAGAACATTTTCATATTGATTCGGAAGATTTTTTCTTTAGTAACTTTCATCCTGTTCTGACCACATTTCAAGTTAGTCATCTAGTGATCGAATCCAAAACTATTTCGATTCGAATATTAATCGAATTTCTACATTTGTTACCTAATCTTGACTCGTTAAAACTTTGCTCATTGTCGCTATTGGATCTAACAAATTTCAGTAGAACGGAAAACGAAACTCTTCATTCTATATCAAAGAACAGTAAAATTACTAAAGTGAATCTTGAACAAACGACTCAACTTGCAGATGTTGAACTACTTATTGATCTATGTCCTCAACTGCAATATTTTGAAATGAAAGATTTTACTGCGATGGATTTCAAATTATTT